AGATAAATCCCTCCTGGGCGACCGAGGCAGGGAGCAGAGCGCGGTGGCAGCCCCTGCAAGCCCCGTCCCAGGCGGGAGGGCAGCACCGGAGCCCACCCCGTCTCCGGGGATGGAGGGTGCCGCTCCCGGCGCATCGCTGAGCCGGGGTGCCTCGCACCCCAGCCCCAGCCCGCCAGCCCCGACTGCTTTTCATGTCGGATGTGAATCTCCTGCAAAGCTCCATTTCTGAGCTGCTATTGCCCGATTCAGTGGCGAGTGCTTCTGGGTCACAGGCAGGGACCAGCGCGGGATGAATCGGTCTGCCACAACTAACTCTGCGCGGCCAGACTTCGCCTTCTCCGACTTAATTTGATGCTCTGAGAAAATTAGACGTTCTCCCACTTCTGTGGAAAAAGGCAAGCACTGAAGGTAATTCAGAGGCTTTGATGCTGCTCTTTAGTCATTCGGGCACCACAGCCCGGCATCGCTCCCCGGACTGACCACAGGCTGGGAGCCACTAATCCTCATGCACAGCGTGCGAGCCCCGGGCAAACTGCTGCGTCTGGTCTGCACGGACACCACCGGCCCGCAGCCCAGCAAGGGAGGGACAAGACGACTATTTCCAGAGTGAGAATTTTAACTTTAATAACCCCAACACCACGAGTGCCCGGCCGTGGAGGAGTTTGCCAAAGATCATAGTCGGGCCATGCCTAGAAATGCTAAGTACACCCTGGTACCCGGGCCCGAATGTTAAGTCGATGGCACTGGAGCACATGAAAGCTGCGCCCAAGGCCACGTGCGCACAACAGACAGGCAAACTACGTCCTTTGAAAGTGGTTTTAAACTCCCCCTCTGAGACGTTGCTGCTTTTAGGGCAGAGGTGGGAAGGTTTTCACCCCGGGTTACGCACAGCAGCCCAGAGCAGGGCTGGGAGGCGGCGGGGGGACAGACACAGCCGCCTCCCTCGCACGCGGGAATTTGCACTTGGCTTAGCTCTAACCCAAACATTGTAATCGGGCGCTCAGCACACAGCGAGGCGCTCATCATTCGCTCCCCGCTGCAAAAAGTAAATCCCCAACGCAAACAAAACCAAAGAGCAAGGGCACTCCAGGCATTGGGGCTGGAGGCTCCAGAGCAAGGACCCCCGGCTCTGTCCCCCCCCGCATCCCGCCGTGATCCGTGTCCACAAGAGAGGGGGTTTTGCTGCAACAGCAGCAGTTACCCGACGGGCAGTTCAGGGGACTTTGTAGGACAGCAAAGGACGGAGCCTCCCCTCCTCGGACGCAGAGCAGCGCGCTCGGGCCAAGGAGACCTCACCCAAAGGGCGAGGGTCAGGGAGCGGCTGCGTTTCACAAACCTGCTCACGCTCGGCGCGGTTTGGGAGAGCCCGAGAAGCGAGAGCCCAGCACGAACCTTCGCTGTAGGCACGTCCCTCCGCGGCGCTGCGCGATCTGCTGCCGGAGCAGAGCCGCTCCACACCGAACCCTCCGAGCGCCGGGGCCACGGGGGTGGCCGGGGCAGGTCCCGGGAAGACGCGGGACTCGAGCAGCGACCCAGGTTGCTGGGCTGGGCTGGGCGGGCGGCTGCAGCCCGCAGCGCTGCCAGCGCTGCCTCGACTGAGAGCAGGGGAGGGAGGAGAAGGCAAAGCAGGCACCCGGAGCTGCCGCTGCTCCTGCCTCAGCCCCAGGAAAGCTCAGAGCACACAGGCTGCTGCCAGCCCGCCTCTGCCGAGCGGCTTTCAGGATGATCGTCTGCTCCCTGTCCTATTCCATCCTCCCTCTTGGGGCTTCGCCTTACACACGGGGGGCACCCACCACGCGTTCCTCCCACCCGGATCAGAACGGGCTCCTCTTTGGCAGACAAACCGACCTCCGGCTGTCCTGATGCCTGGAAACAGCAATCCCGTCCTGAAGAAAAAGAGGAGCAGCCATTTACAATCAAGATCACATCAAATCCCTCCTTTAAGCGAGCAAACTCCCAATTCACACGCCGAGCTGACCACCACGGGGTGTTTGTGCTTGTAGCTCCAACGGGGCAGCTGAGGAGAGCCGCGCGGGAGCAGACACCTCTCCGCGGACGCGTCTTCTCCCAAGAGCCTGGCCCTTCCCGCTGCCACCGTGGCTGGACAAGGATTCCCCCACCTCACCGCCGGGGCCCCCCGCCCCCCCCCGCC